GGAATGAAGTTGGAAATTAGCAATTCAGGAATCCCTAGAGCATATGCAAATGCATGGAGATTGAACAACATGCTCCTGAATGAACACTGGGTCATAGATAAAATCTAAAGAGAAATCAGAAACTTTCTGGAAGTAAATGAAGACAACAACACAACATATCAAAACTTATGGGATACAGCAAAAGCAGTATTGAGAGGCAAGTTTATAACAATAGGTGCCTACATCAAGAAATTGGAAAGGCACCAAATAAATGAGCTTTCAACTCATCTCAAGGATCTAGAAAAACTGCAGCAAACCAGACCCAAATCTAGTAGGAGAAGAGAAATAATTAAAATCAGAGAAGAAATCAACAGGATTGAATCAAGAAAACATTACAAAAAATCAGCCAAACGAGGAGCTGGTTTTTTGAAAAAATAAACAAAATTGACACCACATTGGCCCAACTAACTAAAAAAAGAAGAGAAAAGACCCAAATCAATAAAATCAGAGATGAAAAAGGAAATGTAACAACAGACACCACAGAAACAAAAAGAATCATCAGAAATTACTACAAGGACTTGTATGCCAGCAAACAGGGAAACCTATCAGAAATGGATAGATCCCTGGACAAATGCAACCTACATAAATTGAACCAGGAAGACATCGAAAACCTAAACAGACCCATAACTGAGACAGAAATTGAAACAGTAATAAAGGCCCTTCCAAGAAAGAAAAGCCCAGGACCAGATGGATTCACTGCTGAATTCTACCAGACATTTAAAGAAGAACTAACTCCAATTCTTCTCAAACTATTCAGTACAATTGAAAAAGAGGGAATCCTGCCAAATTCTTTCTATGAAGCCAGCATCACCTTAATTCCTAAACCTGAAAAAGATGCAGCATTGAAAGAGAATTAGACCAATATCCCTGATGAACATAGATGCAAAAATCCTCAATAAAATTCTCGCCAATAGAATGCAACAACACACAATTATTCTTAGGTGTTTAAATTTAACTGAAAAGTGATCGCTGTTAAATATAAGAATGGGAATAAGAGAGGGAGAAGATGTACAATTTGGGACATGCTCAAGCTGACTTGCCCCAAATGGTAGAGTTAGAAACATACCAGGAGACTCCAATCACTCCCATCAAGGTGGCATGTACCAATGCCATCTCACTAGTCCAAGTGATCAATCTCAGTTCACAATTGATCATCAACTGATAGGTACTAAGAGTCAAAGGGAGCACATAAACAAGTCTAGTACCTGCTAACTACTAACCGATAGAATAAATAAAGGGGAGAGTGATCCAACATGGGAAGCTGAGATACTCAGCAGACTCATAGAATGGCAGATAGTCCTAAACAGCACCCTGGCCTCAGAATCAGCCCTAAAGGCATTCGGATCTGGCTGAAAAGCCCATGAGAGTATTTCAGGCATGGAAAGCCAAGACACTGGCAAAACAAAACAATACAAAACAAAAAACTAAATGAAAGATCTGTGTGAGTGAGATCCCAGTGGAAAGAACAGGTCTTCAAAGAAGGAGGTACCTTTCTCTGAAGGGAGGAGAGAACCTCCACTTTGACTATGACCCTGTCTAAACAAGATAAGAGTCAGAGAACTCAAAAGGCTTCCGTAGCCTTGGAAACTCATGACTGGAGCATAGGGAGATTACTGATGCCATAAACAGGAGTGTCAATTTGTAAAGTCAACAACAGGAGTCACTGTGCACTTACTCCTCATGTAGGATCTCTGTCCTTAATGTGCTGTACATTGAGATTTAATGCTATAACGAGTACTCAAACAGTTTATTTCACTTTGTGTTTCTATGGGGGTGCAAACTGTTGAAATCTTTACTTAATGTATACTAAACTGATCTTCTGTAAAAAAAAAAAAAAAAAAAAGAAATTATCAATTCCCAACTTGACTCTCACTGGGATTAAACATGACACTAGGTCTGATCTGATTTCATCATCATTTAAAAAATCATCTATTATTTTTCACTTTATGTTTCTGTGTGCGAGAAAACTGTTGAAATCTTTACTTAATGTATACTAAACTAATCTTCTGTATATTAAGAGAATCGAAAATGAACCTTGATGTGAATGGAAGGGGAGAGGGAGTGGGAGAGGGGAGGGTTGCGGGTGGGAGGGACGGTATGGGTGGGAAGCCATTGTAATCCATAAGCCTTACTTTGGAAATTTATATTCATTAAATAAAAGTTAAAAAAAAGAAAGAGAATTAGACCAATATCCCTGATGAACATAGATGCAAAAATCCTCAATAAAATTCTCGCCAATAGAATACAACAATGCATCAGAAACATCATCCACCCAGACCAAGTGGGATTTATCCCTGGTATGCAGGGATGGTTCAATGTTCACAAATGAATCAATGTGATATACCACATTAACAGACTGCAGAAGAAAAACCATATGATTATCTCAAAAGATGCAGAGAAAGCATTTGATAAAATACAACACCCTTTCATGATGAAAACTCTGAGCAAATTGGGTTTGGAAGGAACATTCCTCAATACAATCAAAGCAATTTATGAAAAACCCATGGCCTACATTCTATTGAATGGGGAAAAGTTGGAAGCATTTCCACTGAGATCTGGTACCAGACATGGATGCCCACTCTCACCACTGCTATTCAATATAGTTCTGGAAGTTTTAGCCAGAGCTATTAGGCAAGAAAAAGAAATTAAAGGGATACAAATTGGGAAGGAAGAACTCAAACTATCCCTCTTTGCAGACGATATGATTCTTTATTTAGGGGGTCAAGGAACTCTACTAAGAGACTATTGGAACTAATAGAAGAGTTAGGTAAAGTAGCAGGGTATAAAATCAATGCACAAAAATCAATAGCCTTTGTATACACAGGCAACGCCACAGCTGAGAAAGAACTTCTAAGATCAATCCCATTCACAATAGCAACAAAAACAATCAAATACCTTGGAATAAACTTAACCAAGGACATTCAAGATCTCTACGATGAGAATTAAAAAACCTTAAAGAAAGAAATAGAAGAGGATACCAAAAAATGGAAAAATCTTCCATGCTCATGGATTGGAAGAATCAACATCATCAAAATGTCCATTCTCCCAAAAGCAATTCATACATTCAATGCAATACCAATGAAAATACCGAAGGCATTCTTCTCAGATCTGGAAAAAATGATGCTGAAATTCATTGGAGACACAGGAGACCTCGAATAGCTAAAGCAATCTTGTACAACAAAAATAAAGCTGGAGGCATCACAATACCAGATTTCAGGACATACTACAGGGCAGTTGTTATCAAAACAGCATGGTACTGGTACAGAAACAGATGGATAGACCAATGGAACAGAATAGAAACACCAGAAATCAACCCAAACATCTACAGCCAACTTATATTTGATCAAGGATCCAAAACTAATTTTTGAAGCAATGAGAATCTATTCAATAAATGGTGCTGGGAAAACTGGATTTCCACGTGCAGAAGCATGAAGCAAGACCCCTACCTTTCACCTTACACAAAAATCCACTCAACATGGATTAAAGACTTAAATCTATGACCTGACACCATCAAATTATTAGAGAACATTGGAGAAACCCTTCAAGATATTGGCACAGGCAAAGAATTTCTGGAAAAGACCCGGGAGGCACAGGCAGTCAAAGCCAAAATCAACTATTGGGATTGCATCAAATTGAGAAGTTTCTGTACTGCAAAAGAAACAGTCAGGAGAGTGAAAAGACAACCGACAGAATGGGAAAAAATATTTGCAAACTATGCAACAGATAAAGGGTTAATAACCAGAATCTACAAAGAGATCAAGAAACTCCACAAAAACAAAACCAACAACCCACTTAAGAGATGGGCCAAGGACCTCAGTAGACATTTTTCAAAAGATGAAATCCAAATAGCCAACAGACACATGAAAAAATGTTCAGGATCACTAGCCATCAGGGAAATGCAAATCAAAACCACAATGAGGTTTCACCTCACCCCAGTTAGAATGGATTACATAGAGAAATCAACGAACAACAGATGCTGGCCATGATGTGGGATAAAAGGCTTAGTAATCCAATGTTGGTGGGAATGTAAGCTGATAAATCCACTATGGAAGTCAGTCTGGAGATTCCTCGGAAACCAGAATATAACCCTATCATACAAGCCAGCCATCCCACTCCTTGGAATTTACCCAAAGGAAATTAAATTGGGAAACAAAAAAGCGGTCTGCACATTAATGTTTATTGCAGCTCAATTCACAATAACTAAGACCTGAAACCAACCCAAATGCTCATCAACAGTAGACTGGATAAAGAAATTATGAGACATGTACTCTATAGAATACTATACAGCAGTCAAAAACTTTGAAATCCGGTCATTTACAACAAGATGGAGGAATCTGGAAAACATTATGCTGAGTGTATTAAGCCAGTCCCAAAGGGACAAATATCATATGTCTCCCTGCTGCTACTTCTCTCTCTCTCTCTCTCTCTCTCTCTCTCTCTCTCTAACACACACACACACACACACAGACACACATACACACACACATACACACACACTGGGTGAGGCTGAAGCTGAAAGCCAGGAACTCAGTTTGGTCTCCCACAGAGGTGGCAGGAACCCACTACAGGAGCCACTCCTGCTGTATCTCAGGGTCTGCCTTAGGACACTGAAGTGAGAAATCTGAGCTGGTATTTGAACCCAACTGTTCTGATGTAAGAGGTGGGCATTTTAATTTCTCTGCCAAATGCCCACCCTGTGACTACAGATTTCAATGATGAATTTCAAGGGGTAGTACCTTATACAATCACTTTGGTTTAAGCAGCATGGCCTTATAGAAGAGATCAAACTCACTGGCCTAATTCAGAGTAAAGATCCACATGTTCTGCCCAAATATTGCAGGAAAACCAATCATGCTCGTCTTATCCAGATAAATGGCAGTGGATCTGTCCACAAACTTTGCCTCCAACACCTCCAAACCCCAACACCAAAACCAGCAGGAAGGACTAACCTGAGCTTCCCAATGGGCTTCATCCTTCTTGGTGTATCTGAATGGCCCCAGGTAGCGTTGGTTCTCTTCTGGATCGTGATCATCCTGTCCTCGGCAACTTCACCAGCATCTTGCTCTGGTGTGTGGAGTTGTGTACCTTGTCTCTACACCCCCATGTACTTCTTTCTTAGCAATCTTTCCTTCTTGGCTCTCCACTTCATCTGTGCACCACCATCATGCACTGTCCATTCTATCAGAAGCTGGCATTCATGGCCTGGCTTCTGGCCTGATGGAGTCTTTGATCTGATCATTATCACCTTCCAGCTGCCCTTCTGTGCTCACCACCTCCTGCATGGATTTCTGTGTGGGGCTCCTGTCCTCATACTCCTGGTCTGTGGAGACTCCTTCAACAATGAGTGGCAGATGACAATCGCTGCTGTTGTCTTCCCCATGGTGACTGTGGGGTTGATCTTGGTTTCTTATGTCCATATGGCTGAAGCAGAGGGGAAAATGAAGTCAGAGGAGGGCATACAGAAAGTCATTGCCACCTGTTCCTCCCACCTCCGTGTGGTCCTCATGTTCTATGGGACAATGGCAATGGTGTACACAGACCCTAAGACCAACTTTGCTTTCAAACATGGCAAGTTCTTCCCCTTCTTCTACACTGTGGTCACACCTGTGCTGAGCCCTCTCATCTATACCCTGAGGAACAGAGAGGTGCAGGATGCTCTTCAATGGAAAGGGGATCTGGGTAATGAAGAGTAGATAATTGAGCATTTGAACCAGGAAGCACATTCTCATACTCTCTATAAGAGAGCCTAAAAATATGACTAAGAATGTTGTATTAATTCAAAAACAGTAAGCTATATTATATTGTTACCACAATGATTTTAGATGTCGTCCTGTTAAAAATGCATGCATCACTGTTTGATTCATGATAAATATTCGAATTTTATTTGATGAGAGGAACACTGTTTTTATTTGGAGAGGAACATGATTTTCAGGATTGACTTTTGAAGAATATATATTTTTATTCTTCAAGCAACGTAACTATCATAAGATGAATTTTCTAAAATCAGAAAACAGATCTGGATTGTTTTATTCAAGTCTCAGTAAGGGAAATTGCCCTCGGTTTCTTCTGGTTTATGCTACACATACAATCTCTAATTGTTTTTCTTTTGCTAGCTATTTAGTTTTTTAAAAAAATTGATGAACAGTGATTACACATATTTATGGTATACATGGGGCATTCCAGACATGTAAACATGTGTGATCAAATCAGCATAGTCCACAGGTCCCCCTTTTTGCCATTACTTTGTATTAGGAGACTTGGGGCTCTTCTGTTTGCTCATAAAATGTTTAATGGGTCATTTTAACTACAGTCTCCCCACTGTGCTGTGCAACACTAGGAACTTAATCCTTCCATCTGACTGACTTGGTACCTGATAAGCTAGCTCCCTCTCTCTCCTCCAGCCCCTACCTCTAGGAGCCACCATTTTGTATTCAGATTTTGATATCTTAGTTTCTACATTTGAGGGAGAATGCGTGGTATATGTTGTGTTTGTCTTACTGTGTCTGGCTTACTTCACTCAACATAAGGACTTCCAATTCCATCCATTTTGCTGCAGTGACAGGATTGACTGAAAATATTCCTCTGTGTGCATTTACCACATTGTCTTTATCTGTTCCTCTGATGGCGAACACCTTGGTTGACTCCATATCTTAACTATTGTGAACACTGCTGCAGTAGAAACGGTGGGGTGGGTGTCTCTTTGACACAATGATTTCACATCTTGGATATACCCAGAGGTGGGAATGCTGTATCACACAGCATTTCCATTTTAGTTTTTTTGAGGGATCTCCATACTGCTTTTCATAGTTGCTGTATTAAGTTGCATTCCCACCAACACTGAATAGGAGCTCCTCTTTATATACATCCTTGTCAGAATGTGCTACATTTTTTGTCTTTTTGATGCTAGCTATTTGAGATATCTCCCTGAGGTATTGATTTACGTTTCTCTCGACGCTTGTGATGTTGAGCATTTTTCACATACTTGTTGGCCATTTGTATTTCTTCTTGTGAGAACTGTCTATTCAGGTCCTTTGTCCATTTTTTAACTGGATTGGTTGATTTTGTTGTTGATGTTTTTTGAGGTCCTTATGGCCTTCTTAGTTTGATATAAAAATGCCAACTTAGGCACAAAGAAGAGACTCTATCTGCACTCGTTGTGTTATATTTTTCACTTCTCTGCAATTTCCAGAAGATCAAGCCACCAAAGAAGGGTGCCTTAAGAAGCCTTTGAATCCAAAGGGAGTGTGCACACTCATTTCTTCCATAGATTCCTAATGTAATTAACATTTAAATTACTCTCTAAGTGTTGAAAAATGTGATATTCAAATATACTTTTTCCACACAGAAGCTAAAGTAAGTTTTAAATTTAATATAAAGTCAGAAAAGTAAACTAAATGTCTCATGGGTTCTCTGTATTATTTTCTTGTTTATGTAACTGTAGAATCAGAACACTGCCTAGATCCAAGTGAGATTTTATAAATGGGTTTCAGTTATTAAAGCATGCTTCTAGAAACTAAGCATAAAAGTTTAGTTGCAAATGTCCATTGAGGTTTAATGAAATTCTAGTAGGCTCCTGTTCTATTACCAATGAATAAATAGTATGATACACTTTTAAGAAATTATGAGGGACTTCAAAAAGATCATGGAAAATGGAATTAAATGATGCTTATTTTGATACAAAAACTTTTGAAATACATGCAAATGAGGAGTTTTCTTCAAAAAGTTCATGATAAATGTGCATTATGGAAGAGGTCTGCATGGATTTCAAAAATTTTTGCACCAAAATAAACTTATGTTTTCATTTTTCCTCCCATTACCTTTTTTTTTTTTTTTTTGGACAGGCAGCGTTAGACAGTGAGAGAGAGAGAGAGAGAGAGAGAGAAAGGTCTTCCTTTTTCCGTTGGTTCACTCTGCAAGTGGCCGCTATGGCTGGCATCTTGCGGCTGGTGCACTGTGCCGATCCGAAGACAGGAGCCAGGTGCTTCCTCCTGGTCTCTCATGCAGGTGCAGGGCCCAAGGACCTGGGCCATCCTCCACTGCCTTCCCGGGCCACAGCAGAGAGCTGGACTGGAAGAGAGGCAAACCAGGACAGAATCCAGCACCCTGACCGGGACTAGAACCTGGGGTGCCGGCACCGCAGATGGAGGATTAGCCTAGTGAGCCGTGGTACCGCACCCCCCCCCATAAACTTTTTCAAGTTCCTTCATACATCCATCCTTTGATTTGTCACAGAGTGGTGGTTGCCAGATGTCAGTATCAAGAATTGGTTAAGGCAGTGTTAAGGAAGCGACACTGATGGCAAAATTCTTGGAAAGCAAGTGGCTCAGTGCTAGAGGCTAAATTAGCTGAGGATGCTGAGAGACCTGTGTACAGCTTGGATGGGTGTATTAATCAGGGCGCACGGGAAGGTGACTGGGTCACCACCACAGGTCAGCAGTACTTTAACATCCCAGGTAGGTTTATTTCTTAGACGTCCAAAGTCAGTGTGGATGCCCTGGTGGGGGGAGCATCCTGGACTTGTGAAGGTGTTGCTCCAGGCTGCTTTCTCCTTAGTGTGTCTCCATTTCCACAGAGGACAACAGGGAGGGGAACCATGGGTTGCACACATCACTTCCTCTCATGTTTCCTGGGTCAAAGCAGAGCAGGTGACTATTTTTAACATCTGGTGGTGGAGGACTCAGAGTTGCCCACATATTCAAGATATTTCAGTCACAAATTAGTTTTGAAAAGCATTTATAATCTTCAGGTCTTTTATGTATGCTACACTGTTTACACAAGACAATTCATGGCATGTTTTTGTCGCGTATTTTTCTGTTTTCTCTCTCTGTAGCCTGAGATACATGTAATTGTTCATATTTTCTGCTTTATACTTCAGCAACAAACTCTTTTTTATGATTCATTTCATCTTCTATAAACATCGTTTTGAATTACTAATATTTTCTGGCTGGTTTTAGTTGTATAAGAGCACATGCAATTAATTTCAGCCTGCTAAAGAATATTTTCTTAATTATTGCTGACTTTAGTTTTATTGTATCTTCCGTGACTAGCACAGGAATGTGAACCCAGCAGCTAAATATGCATTTGTGGAGTGAATTAATAAACGACTGTTGGAACTTCAGCTTCTATAACCAATAAATCAATTGCTTTGTTATGTTACTAGGGATCAACATAAAACAGGCAAACTAAAGCAATTAGCTGGTAGCTCAGTTGACTTTGTGAAGCATGGGGGAAGAATTTTCACTCTCAGGCCTACGCCGCGTGTGGGGACTGCAGTTCATTACCTACAAGGACTGAGGCCTCCGGGACCTGCAGAGAGCTCAGGGCCCTCTGTGCTCCTTTGTTCTTTCCCTCTGGGGAAACAGAACAGTCACATGATTTCTGCCCATCTGCTGAGGTGGACACCACACCTAATATTTAACTGAGGGGGATCTCAGAGTCAGGGAGCTGAGATTAGATCCCAACACAAGGAAGATCTGCAGGGTGCTCCTGGCTAAGAGGGCTTGAGATTTCCAGCAGTGCCACTGAACTGATTTCCAGCCCAGGTGAGCCACTGTCACTGCTATGGTGGGGGGGTTAGGAAATGAGAAAGGAGCAGTCAGACGAGTGGAATCTCAGGATGTACAACCTGTCTCTGGGCTTGAAGGAGACTTGTGCCAAGTGCCCAGCACTGCATCTAACAGGCTGTGTTCTAAGATGCAGAAATCGCTCCCTCTCCAGACTCAGGCATCCTGCAATGTGCACTTACTGCAGAATTTGTGCTGTGAAGTACACTTAGACACTCACATGTTAGGATACAACTGATATTATGATGAATTTGTTGCAGAAATCTATGCAGACAATTTCATTTTTATATCCCAGCAGTAAATTTCAAAAATACAGCATGTTGCACAAAAGGTCTCCTGACATTTATTCCTCTCATCCAACTGTGCATTTGCTAGTTAGGCTTAGCCTTTCCCCAACATATGGATATTTTAAAACATCACGATGTACAATGATAACGTTGTGTATTGTTATCTTTAAATTTCAAAAATACACAAAATTCCTCTTACTGAAGGCATACAAAGTTAGGTAGTATATTGCTAAAGTTAGGTAGCATATTGTAGAGTTTAATTATTTTCACAAGTTTGAATGTTTTGTTCTCAGAATAGTGGTCAGCTTAATGAAACTATGACCCAATGAGAATTTGCATCTGTGTATTAATGTATTACTTAAATACTGCTAAATTTCATTATCAAAGAGAGAGAGAGATAGAGACAGAGAGAAAGTCAGAGAGAGAGAGAGAGAGAGATACACAGAAAATGGAGAGAGGCAGAGACAAGAGAATGAGAGAGATGTGTTTCCCCACAATCAATTAATCATTATTTGGCCACAGCCACAAGAATAGAAATGTATGGATCCTGCCATAATTGTAGCCAAACTCCAGGATGACACAGCAACCCAATGGCCATGGGATGTGGAAAGCAAGAAATACAAATTTATCATAAATCTATGATGGTGGGATTAGACCTATCTTTATTATTACATTATTGTGTTTCATATATGTCTTCAATGATCTATAACACAAAATATATTAATATAATGAAAATTATAGATATTTATAAATATAAGGCAAGGGCAGGCATTTAGCTCAGCGATTAAGATGTTGGGTGAGACACCCATACGCCATTTTGTGGCACCTGGGTTCAATGCTTCC